GAAGTAATCTCCAAGGAATTTTCACCTTCTGTTCCCATTGAAATCACTAGAATATAGTGGAGGCCAGAGGTCATCAGGGACAGAGACTTCACAGTCAGGCTGCAAAATAGGACAAGCTGCTTCCTTCAGACTCTTGATGTCAGTGGACTACAATGGCAGCTACAGTGAAAGGCCTGTGAGATCTCTGCCTCACCGTCATGGGCAAGAGGATGTTATCCTTAAACCATGTCCTGCTTTGAAAAGACTTTGAGGGATCCAGGCTCACAGCTCACAGGCACTGGGACTTCAGTGTGGCAATCACTTTTCTAGCACTGGGAGGCTTACATCTGCAGGGAATGTTAGCATACAACTTTCTTTGGTCCAGCCAGTATCTATGAATACCTGCAACTGAAATTGCTTCAGAGCCCATGCGCTCAAGGCTGGCCACTAGCCTCTGGTGTTACTTAGGAGACAGAAGGAAGTAAGTCATGGGGTCCCCATGGCAAGGGTTGTTGGGAACTTGGCTTCTCCACTCTGTTGTTTCTTCTGCTTCCTGACCATCACCAACTCAACAGCTTTGTCATGATTTCTGCCTACGCACAGGCTCAAAGAGAGGGGGCCAAGTGACCATGGATGGAAATCCATAAAACCTTGTGCCAAAAGGATCCTTTTGTCCTTTTACAGGCTTTGGTCAGGTGTTTGGTCACAGCCACAGAAGATGACAAATTAGGTTTGGCCTGGAGTCTGTGAGCTGCTTTTGTGTGCTACCTGTGGAAACAGGAGGTAGAAACAATAGGTTGAGGAGGCTAGCCAGCTCTATCTGCACACTGCTGTCCAGTAGGACTTTCTGTTGTGACAAACATCTCCCAATGCTCTGCAACCCCATAGTCACAGGGGCCTACTGGACACTTGGAATAAGACTGGAGCAATCGAGAAAATATTTAGCATTATTGGACTTGAATAAATTTAGTGTTCATAACCCTACCTGGGAGAAAGGACTTGGATAAAGAATGGGTGGAAGCATTCCTGGGACCTTGACCAGAGAGCCTTTAGTCACAAAATTATAGGAAATATCTGACTGTTCACTTGCCGAAGACAAGAAGTCTGTCACAAAGCACAGAGCCACACATTCCGTTTTGTTAGGGTGTCCTTACTCCTAACAGAGATCTCCCCAGAGCTGCAATCTGCTCAACACCATAACATGGGTAGGTTCAGAAACACCGGAGGCTCATTTCTTTCTTTTTTTTTGGGGGGGGGAGGTCCGGTTGTGGGGCCTGAACTCTGGGCCTGAGCGCGGTCCCTCAGCTCTTCCGCTCAAGGCTAGCACTCTACCACTTGAGCCACAGTGCCACTTCTGGCTTTTTTCTTTTTCCTTATGTGATTCTGAGGAATCGCACCCGGGGCCTTAGGCATGCAAGGCAAGCACTCTACCACTGAGCCACCTTCCCAGTCCCCCTCCCCAGGCTCATTTCTTTGGCCATACTGTTTTGTTTTTCTGTCTTAAAGATGGAGCTCCTAAGAATCCCTGGCTATTTCTGAATACACAATAGCTCATTTCAAAGCCTCTTACCTCCTCTGCCATTTGATGGAAGAAATCTTTCTTCCTCTTCCCTGAGCATCTTTGTCTCCTCTGCTTCTATGACTAATCTTGCATTGGGCTGTCTTGCAGAGGGCTATCTATAGATGTGATGTGAGATCACA